ATAATTACGGAATATAGAAAAAGTCTCTAGTAGTTTTATTAGTATACTAGTAAACTAGGGATATAATGCACAAAAAATTAAAATCAGCTAAAACCAATGAAAAATTGAAAATATCGTACTTAAGATATCGAAACTATTGCAATAATTGACGACCTGTTGGTCTAGTGGTTAGTGACCCTAACTGCTAAACCGGAGGTCGTGGGTTCGATTCCCACCGAGGACAAATATTGTGTGATGAGCACGGTCATTTGTTCTGTGTCTGGGTGTAATTTATCTATAATATGTATCTATTTAAAAATGTATAAGTATGTTTATCAGCAGTCTGGTTACCATAATACAGGCTCTGCCTAGTTTGGGATCAGACAGCCGTGTGTGAGATGTGTGTGATATATCATATTATATTATAATAATTTATTAAAAAAACTGTACGAGAGAGATCAACTAATATTTCCAAAAAGCTTTGGTTCGTCGTTAAAACAATTACAGTAATAACGAAAATCAATAGCCACTGCAACTTTAAAAATCGCTGATAGTCCTAAAAAAACGGTTAACAAAACAAATTAATATTTCTCTAATATCGGTAAACGCCAGCGGATATTATTATGCACGCTCGCTTTCCCAATCTTGATGGCGACGTAAACTGTCCTAAATGAAAAAATCAAACTTTACAGGAGAGCAGTTTTAAGTGGTCAGAACGGTATTTTGGGTCATATCTTGTAAATAACTTAACCAATTTTAATAAAATTTTGCAATAAGTATTAAAATGCCATGTTATTTATATTATTGCAACTATTTTTTGTGTTTTTTTTTTAAATAGATTTCTAGATTTTGCACATTCGGCTTTTTACATCGTTGATTTTTGATATATTTTTTTTGTTTTTTTTTTATTTTTTTTTACATTTGATTATTGCACGTAAAAAGGCTGTTGTGATCTTTCGCCCATTTACGAGGCTCAATATTTATTTTTATTTATCAACCAATATGTTTTTATTTTATGTTTATGGTAAGCTCTGTTACTCTTACTAGCCAAAATCATTACCGACCAACCAGAAAATAATACCTAATACCATGTAATTTCGTTTTAAAGCATATACGACGGTATACGGCGTGCAAGTTATAACTATGTCCTTCTATCATATAAAAATGGGTATCAAAAAGAAAACATTTAAGTAATAAAAATCAAAAGTTTTATTATAATTTGGTAAACTTTGTATCACAACCATAATTTAAAATAAAGTTAGTATATACCTTAAGTTTCTTTAAATAATCAACATGACATCTAACTATATCTAAGTTTAACAGAACTGAATAAGTAAACAAAGAATATAATTAGTGAAATAAAATCAAAATTTGTACCTTCACAATAAACTAGAATTTATTTATGAAAATAGTAGTAAATAATCAACGATCAATTATTATGATAACACAGAAATAACCTCAAAATAAACGAATATTGGTAACAAACAAACTAACATTATGGTATTAGTTTTCTGAAACAAATACTACTGAGACATGAGAGTAAAATTAAGTTCTCTCTGTCTGAATCTGTTCACACTTTGATGGGTAAATATTTAAATCAAACCATTCATTCATCATCATTACCAACAGCCACAGTAACCACCAACAGTAACAGTCCACTGCTGGACATAGGCCCTTCCTTAGAAAGGAGGTTTTGGCTTGCTATACCACACTGGCTGGGTTGGTTTAGAGTTTCGGTCAATAGCACTGTGCGGTGCACTGGTGTGGGCGGTGGCTCTGTCTCTGTCGGCTTCAGACGACTTTGACGATGAGCATCAGTAACTACAGAATGATTCATGTGATGTCCTCTCTGTGTAGTGACTGAACTAAATTTTTAACTACGGCTGTGCGTACAACTTATTCCCTGAGGGCAAAAGTTTGTAAAAATTTTGTTTTCTAAACTCGATGTTTCTGCTTGTCATCTACGCCAGTTAATATAGCATTATTTTCGCTGCCTAAAACAGATAAATAATAAGCATAGGTAAATGTGTCTTTAGATATGGTTCTACGGTTATTAATTTTTTGGACATATTTAGTTACCTCATTGTTTTTAATGGTAACCAATAGCCCGAAATTTATCAAATAGTAGTGAACGTTCGAATCCGTGAATTGAAATTTTTATACACATATTTTGGATAATATTTTAAAGCACTGAGTGATTTTGTATGGGGTAGTTTACCGTCTTGACGTTGGTGTTTTTGCAAACGTAAATGTTTTAAGTGCTTTCGTATGATATGATCTGTTTGATCCTTCTGTCTTAATTTTTCAATATCCTTTCTGTTAGTATATTTCTTTTTCTTAAAGAAGGTAAGAAAAGGTCACTCGACAAATATATAGCTGATTCACTCAGATGGATTGGATTGTATATAACGGAACTCGGATTTATATAATTATCATTAATAGATTTGGCTAGCTCTGGTGTTGACGTCAAATTATCTAAATTAGCACATGAAACATTCTCCATAGAATTATCTACGGTACCGTAAGCTAAAAATGATACTGTTAGTGACGGTATCGATGTATTAAAATTATAAATTCTGTTTGATTATTAATATCAAGAAGGCGAATCATTTTTGACAGACCTTGTTAGCTGTAAATATGTATGAGCGAAAATTTCCAAAGATAAATTTTCAACTGTGCCTATACTTTGCACCAGACTGAAAAGGAGACACTGTAATCATCATCATCATCAGTCTATCGTAGTCCACTGCTGGACATAGTGACCCTTTTCTATTGCACTTTGATCGGTTTTCGGCTTCTCGCATCTAGCTCCTGCCAGCCATCTTGCGCAAATCGCCACTCCACCTGGCCTGTGGGCGTCCTACACTGCGTTTGCCGGTTGTCGGTTATTGCCAGCCCGCTACCACTTTAGCTTGCTGATCTGGTGAGCTATGTCTATGAACTTGGTTTTCTACTGGATCACCAGAAGAAAATATTTTATTTTCACATTACAAGTCCCCGCCTAGTAATAAACATTGGTTCATTTCCTAATTATTGTGAAACTAACAATCTCTTTGGTAATACTCTGTTTGATCTGTCAATTGAATCCAAGAAGGAAAATAAATTAATTTAAGTTGGTATTTACAAAACATTTGATATGAACTTGATTCAATATATTTAATTGAATACACATTGAACTCCGTTACAAACAACACACCTGCACTTACGCTATTGCATGTTATTACTCCAATATTAAAACTGAACAAATGAGAATACTGTCTTAGCATGCAAGAGACATAGTACTCGTAATACTCGTTATGAATGATTTTTTTTTAAATATATCAAATAGTTACTAAAAATACTATTGTTTACAAAAAATCGAATAAAAGATAAGGAAAACCGAACAAAATGCAGAGTTAGGGCGTGTAGAATTAGAAGTATGGCTCTACATACTAACTTTTTGACAGTGCAAGCCATATAACGAGACTATATGCACTGTCAAAAAGTTGGCAACATTTTATATGAAAATGTTTTTGGTGGGATTTCACTTTTTGTAAGTTGCTTATGACTATCTTTTATTGGAAGTTCCTTATCGTGCGTTACATGCTCTGAGCGAATGGGAGCGAGACCGAAAAATGTGTAACAAGACCTTTTGCCGATACTTCGTGCGGATCTTCGCTCTGACCAAGGGTCCACAGACCCCTCATGCTTTTTTCATTAATTTTTTCTTTCTTTTTTTGGAGTGTATTTCTTGCACATCAAATGTCCCTTTTTATTAACTCTCTATCTTGACCTGTTTTTTGTTGATTTACTCTTTATAATAATTGATAGATCAGGGCGATACTTCTACGTTTAATTTCACATTCGCTAATTTAATGGACGGGGATTGATTCACTTAAAATACTGAAATATGTGATATGTATTTATTTTTATAACACGGAGTCATTATTCTATAAATTTCTGATCTCTATCATTAAATTTTGCGGAAGTCACATGCACTAGTTTAAGGGGTTTGGGGAAAAGTACCATGTTTTATATTTTTATGTACTAATACTAGGTTACATACCAAATTGACCTTTCTAGAACCTCAAGAAGTACCCTTTGAATTTTGGTGATCATCAGTAAGTCAGAGACTTGAGAGAGAGAGAGTGAGTGTTTTTTAGATATCAATAAAATCTAGCTGTATAAGAGTATAAGAGCTGGGCTATTTATATAGTTTAATAAGTTTACTATTGACATCATACCTCGAGAATTTTGTGTATTTGAATTTGAATTTGAATTTGAATTTTTCAAATGTCTTGTAAATAATGTTATCTTTTTTAACATAAAAAGAGATGAAAAAATTCATATAATTTTTTAGTTAATCAATAACGATTTCATTTTTATTCTTATTTCATATTATATCAAATTAATCATTTACCAATATATAACCTAGAGAGAACAAGAGCCCCAATCTTGCAATATAGGCACCGACAGAGATGGATAATAGATAGTCCCCTCTATCTATTTATAGTCGAGCTCTGTGGTTGACTGGGGAATATTAGGGCTTAATATACTTATTAACCCCTAATATTCCGTTTCCATTTAGCTGTCTGTTTAGCTAAGCTATGCTATTGGCAGAAGCCAATCGTAGCTTAGCTAAACAGACAGTAGCCAAGCCTAAACAGAGACAGAGGAATATAGGTCATCCATCTCTCATGTTGCCTGTATCGCTTCCACTTTCAGGCAGCTGTACCCCGTGTTCTCTCATGCTTTTATTTCTATGTTTACTAATCTCCTATTTTATTTTTAACTTTTATAACAGTTAATTTTTGTGCATGTGGTGTTAGCCTGTGAGTGATTATTGCACTCACGCATGGTTAGCCTTTAAGTTCAAATCTGTTATGCTTCGTGTAATAATCGTTGGCTGACTAAACAAATGTTTCTTGTTTTAAATCTTATCGCATTGCAGTATTTTTTTTGTTAATCTTAGGTTATGAAAAAAAAGACCAAGAACAAAATAAAAATCAAATCTATTAAATGAAATATTAATTATATTAAACCTATAGTAGAGGCACTATACTCGCTAACGAATCTGCGTAGAAATCAGGTCTGGTAGTTTTATGTGCTAGCATTGTCTCTTTTGGTATATTCGTGAGGAGCATCAGCGTCTTAAATCCTGTGTTTTTGCCCAACTTTATATCTTGTTCGATCCTGGAAGATAAATTAAAAGTGTGAAAATTATATAATATAAAACACAAAACATATAAAGCCAACTCTAGAGATCAGGACGTCCACCAACCGATCAACCTTCAAGACTAGAGTACGCAAGCTCTATGGAGACTTGTTGACGGAGTAATCAGAAAAACTATTCGTGTCGTCATTATTGTATTAATTTTATGTATATGTGTATGTATGTTTATATTTTTCATATTTATAGTATCAAAAAGTACGTATAAATTACATATATGTATCTTGCAACTGATAACAATTTAAAATAATTTATCTAATCTGCTCTAATTATACAGCCCCATATACAGCTCGGCAACACCCAAAGGTTGACTGGAAGAAAATGCCTATGGCTTTAAGTCTGTCTTATGCAATGTATTTGCAGGTAGTATATATATCAATATAGATCAGTATAAATAGTAAGTAAGAAATAATCTTAAATATCAAAGTGTGTTTATTTTCAAAGATAATCATTTGCTAATAAGAACAAATTCCACCTCGAACTCTGGACCTGTAATTGCTAATTGCTGAACATCAGGCAGTAATATGCTTGTTGCCTTCTTACACTCCTGTGATAAGCAAGAAAATTATAGCAACTTACATATCTCCAATGAACAGTACTCTGCTGGGATCTGTGACGCCTGCTCTCTTCATCGCAAATTCTCCAAATAATTTACTGGGCTTTGACAATACTATGGGACTACGATTCGAGTCTTCTGACACGACGTTAGTGAAAATGGCACAACCTGAAAATAAATAAATAAGTATAAAATACGAGTCGTTAATTAAATGAATAGGTTGGCTTTATTATTTTATTTATATTTTAATTAAACAAACATGTAATAAGATAAAACAACATATATCTGAGTGTCCAGTGCGTGATTTAATATATTTATTTCTATTGGGGTAAATTAGTGTGTACTTGTCTAATATATTAAAAACAATACATAATTATTTTCGACAAAAAGGAACGGTCGTTTCCTTTAAACAATTCTACTAGTGCCTTCTCTTTGGTGACGGTGTGAAAAATCCCTTCGTATCTCCGGCTCCTAGGGGACGCAGGAGCCAGGAGTATGTGGTGTTTCCGCTAATAACCACCATGACGGCTGGCCTCAGGCGCCACACTTTGGGGAGGATCCGGACCATGTGATTTTAGGTCCCCCCGAATCGACGCCGAACCTACAAGGCTCTATCCCGAGGGCAGCCTTTGGCTTGCAGTAATAAATCTACCATCAGAGGTCAACACTCTCTGGCAGCGGGAGGATAGGCGCTTGTCCCAAATCGGCGCTCCGTAGAGGGTCATGCATCGTATCATCGCACATTTTTTTCTTTCTACCAGTTTATAAATGTAATATTTATGTATAAAATGTGTATAAAGCCTTATTACTATTTGCTATTTTCTAAATAAATTTTCCTTATAATATACAATGACTTGTGTCAAAATTCTTATTGCTACTACTTTTTGAGTAGGCTCAAACAAAAGAAAGACGTCATAGAAATATATTAGTTTCCGTATGTATTTTTGATTGAAAACATCCTTCCTTTCGCTCTTCTGCAATAATAATTTTTAACAGGAACCTGGGGAAGGGCACGCTATTTGATTTAACCAATTAGCTTTCATTATCATCTTCAGCAACACCCTATACTAGTCCACTGCTGGACATAGGCCTCTCCTTAGAATTAGCTTTCACTCGCGAGTTTCACTCGTTTTTAATTCGTCAAGAATCAATTTCGGACAAGTTTGATCCAGTGATGACTGTGACCGCTTTTTTACATCATTGGAGTAAACGACCAGACAGTTTTCAGCTTAAAAATAACGCCACCCTTAGTTACTACCCCCCCCCCCCTTGATTCAGGAGGTTTGGGTTCCCGTAACCCCATTCACTCGGTAAAAAACAACGAAAGAACTGCTTAACAGCGGTTTTCTGTGAGGAAGTGGTATCACTCCACTCAAGCCTGGCCCTTATGTGTCGAAGCACGGGTCTCCCACTATTTCAAGGTAATATGAGTGAAAGCACGCCAAGTTTGGACTACGATGTAATTGTAGTAAGGTAAGTCTATACTCACACTGGTCAATGATTAAAAAATAATAGTCCTTATCATCATCTATAACGTCCACTGCCGGAAATATGCCTCGCCGAAAACTCGCTACATCAACCAGTCCAGTGCTTACCAAATCTAAGGGCTTCCCGCGATCTTTACGAGGTTATCGGGCTACCTTGTTGGGGCTCTTCTGTTCCTCTAATTAATGCTTAATGAATTAATGGTTGACATTTGATCGATCTAAACTTATAATTACCTAAAGCAGAACGTCCTTGCCCAAAATGTATACGTCGATCTGTGGCCCCGCACAGGAAAAGTACCTCAGGCCTCCTCAGATAAGTGACGGCCTTATGAATTTTAGCCAAATTCGCTTTGAAATCACAGTCGCACACAACTGCGCCTATTTCTGGGTCGTCTTCTAAGTATTGAACGTAGTCGTCAAAAATGTCTGCGCCTAAAACAGGCTATAAAAGAAATACCAAATAAGTCATTAACATAAAAATATACAGTATATTGTGTTACAGATACTTCTAAAATATAGTACCTGGATGACCGAGCTTTGCTCGGTATTTTTTGATGGAAATGAAATCTAGCTAGATCGATTAATTGCCCCAGAAATCCCCTGCATACTAAATTTCATGAAAATCGTTGGAGCTGTTTCTGAGATTATATACGCTCGTAATGTAATTAATTACACGGTACTTCTGTATCATTCTGTAGGTATATTAAACCATCCTATCATTTGAATAAAATTAAAGCATAAAAGAAAATGTAATCAACAGAGCAAATAAGGCTAATTTGTTTTAAGGACTGTTTTTTATGTTATACGCTGAAATTAAAAACATTTATTTTATGTTTTCAACTTATATTTCAATATTTGATTAAGCGTACCAAAGATTACTCTTAAAAGTAGGACCAATTAAAAAAACGTCTAATCATGAAATACTTACCCCTGTTTTAGTTTTAATGCCATGTGACTTCAATATCTTAACAGTCACATCACACGCCACGGCGTATACTTTCTTTTTGAAGTTTAACGCTTTTAAGTACCCAGCTATCGCAAAAGGTGGTGTTGTGAGGGATTGCTGAAATAGAAAAATCGTTATTTTTCTGTGTCATTTCAGTCGCCTTCCTCTTTGAAGGAGAATTTAGAAAATTGTTTTTTTTTTATCTTACAATTTAAAAAGTACAAAGTAGGAATATTAATTTTTAAACTATCTCGTTCTATAATTTATAATTTTGTTTGCGGGAATTAACGCAACCATGGTGGGTATTGAGTACACACTTTTCAAATGTCTGACGTTTCGACCAGGGCCTCATTTCTCTGCTAGTTTAATATTGTATCAATAGACTGTCTATTGACTGTCGTCACAATAGTTTTGTACTTTTCGTATTCTACTAACGATGAGACCAGTGACGATGACTTGTCACTTAACTACCACTGACATAAATGTCGCCGATGTCTTTACAGTAGTTTGATTAACGGTATATTTAAGTAATTGTTAAAAATACAAATGGGCGACTTGAACCGCGGTAGTATTTTGTTTGAGGTCTTTATCGTCTTAATTTTTTTTTTATAATATAGTCAAACACTTAATATGCCTTTTTGCCTCGACAATCAAAGTCGTCTAGTCATTTTTTTCAACTGCAATTGAAAAAAATGCTATTAAATAAACTAATTCAAAAAGATATTAACTCATGCATGTGTGGACTCGCTATTGCACGCATTAGAAATGGCAGACACTGGTGGGATGATCAAAAAAGATTACAGGTATAATTTAAGTTAAATAACTAATTTCACTTGATCACGATTGCAGTACGAGAACGAACAAAATACTGGTTAATCTTATCTAGTTTTAGCAAGCTGCTAAATCTAGATAACAAAATCATCATCATCAACAGCCTTTAGCAGTCCACTGCTGGACGTAGGCCTCTCCTTAGAAAGGAGGTTTGTCCTACTATACCACGCTGGCCAAACAGGTTGATATAGGGTTTGGGGTGCTGGGCTAGAAAACCTCCTCGTGGTGCACCCTGGAAACGCTGGCGATGGTACTGTTTCCTCCTTGTCCTCTTGGAGGAGAGGATTATCGCCAGCGGCCAATATTCTAGCAGAAGAGACAACCGTTCATCGGCTCTCGGGCAAGGCCTGGTCCAGCAGGGTGGGCGTGTCTGCCGGTTGCCCTGCTGGCTCTTCGCTCTTCGGAGCATGGAGGAGGAAACCTCGGTAAAAAACCTGATGGCGGGGCCCTGTAGGGGCCACAGTTTCTCCGCTGACAGCGGTGGAGAAAGGAGGACGGGCTCGGCGTGTACTCACACTACCACCGAGCAGGCAGGGGGACGTAGTCTCCCTGTCAACCGTCGGCATATCGTAATCCCGAGAAGAGCGCTGTGGTTAAGTCTCGCGGCTCTGATCGGGGGCGAGGGTCTTGGCTTAACCGCCCGGACCGCGAGGAAGATAACCTCTCTAAAAAATTCCCCGAATCCCGTGTTCTGGTGCGTGGCCAGGGGATGCATGGCTGATGGGAAGTTCAGTCGCGAGCGCACTCCAAGCCGAGGTACCTGCGGACCCCTCGGTTGGGTTAAAAACTTACGCTTGCCCGGGTAATGGGGGATCTCTGCCCGGGTGGACCTGTATTTCTCCCCCACTCGTGGGATCAATTATGCAATCATTAAATAAAACTACCAAAAAACGATCGGAAACAAACACAAAACAGACAAAGGCAAGCCTAACGGACAAGGAGACGAAGAGCAGGAACAGTGGAGTGGATGGGTCGTCCACGGAGGGTGAGATAGCGTCGGGAACGCCTATCTCGATGGGGCTCCCAGAAGTCAGTCTGACGCTGGTCTCTGGGAGCCGAAGAGCATCAGATCGGCTGCGCTCCGGATCCGCCGTTTCGTCGGATGGCGCTGACGCCATGGAGGCGGAGCGAAGCGACAGCCGGAAACGAGGACGCTCCAGGGACGAGGAAACCGACACGTCCCAGGAGATGATGCCACCAAAGGTGGCAAGCAGCCGCCGAGGGAGGGCACGCAAACCTGCCTCGGCCCCGGTCTCGACCCCGTCAGGCTCCGCGTTCTCAAACGCGGAGTCGTACAGGAACGTACGGGTGGACGGCGAGGCCGTAGCGGAGGAGGAGATCGCGGATCTCCTGCTCAAGGTTCGGGAGCCGGTGGGGGGAAATGCCCCCCAGGCTCCCGTGTCCGTGCAGGAGAGGGCGAAAGCGGCGGTGGCCGTCATTCACAAGGTGGCCACCAAGTCTGTCAACCTTAAGGGCTCGTTTGTGAGGGCCCTTAAGGACTCCTCCTCCGCTTTGTCGGAGGTCGTGGAGGGCCTAGTGGGCGATGTGTCTCGCCTGCAGGTGGCCAACGAGAGGCTGACGGAGCGGGTGAACGAGCTGAGCGCTCAGTTCGCCCGCTTCCAGGCGAACCTCCCGGAGCGGGAAGCCCCGTCCGCGTCCCAGCCTGCCCCTACCACCAACTCAGGGGCATTTGACTCCCAACTGCGTGAAATCCTCATCGCAGTTGGGAATATGCTGGCCTGGAGGCGAGACTGCCCCCTGCGCCGATTGTGCGCCCCCCGCTCGCGTCGGCACAGCGGCCTAAGGCCGCCGCTCCGACCGCGCTCCCCGTGGTGGGAGGCCGCGTTTCATACGCGGCGGCGGCGTCTGCCCCTACTCCATCGGCTCCTCAAAAGCCGAGGAGGGGGGCCAAGGCACCGGCCCAGGCGCCGGCCAAGGCACCGTCCCAGGCGCCGGCCAAGGCGCAGGCCAAAGTGCCGGCCAAGACGGGGCCTAAAACGGCGCCGAGGAGCGGAGTGGCATTCCCTCCGCTCCCCACTCCGACACCCCTGCCGGGCCCCTCCGCACCTGCCCCCTCCAACGAGGGCTGGCAGGAGGCGAGGGGCTCCAAGAAGTCCCGAAGGCGGGCCAGAAAGGCTGCCCAAAAAGCAGCCCAAGCCCAGCCTTCGCCACCGGTGGCAACGGCCTCTGCAAAGAGGCCGCGGAAGCTGCAGCCGCCCAAAACCGCGGCTGTAGTTGTGACCGTGTCCCCGGAGGCGGCTGACGGCGGGCTGTCCTATGCGGCCGTCTTCAAGAAGGCCCGGGACAGCCTCGCCAACGAGTTCGGGACGGTGGGGGTCAGGATGCGCCTCGCCCAGACGGGAGCTCGAGTTCTCGAGTTCCCTGGGGCTGAAGGCGCAAAGACGGCGGACTCCTTCGCTGAGAAGCTGCGGGGAATATTTGCAGCCACAGATGGTGTCAGGGTCGCCAGGCCTACCAAGTGCGCGGAACTGCGCATCTCGGGCCTGGACGACTCAGTGACGGCCGAAGATGTCCGCGCTGTAATCCGGGAGAAGACGGGGTGCAGCGCGGACAACGTCAGGGTCGGCACCATCCGCCCCGGTCCAGGAGGGCTTGGCGCCGTGTGGGTCAGCTGTCCCGTAGCGTCGGCCAAAGTATTGGCCGACGCCGGCAGGCTGCTCGTCGGTTTCGTGAGCGCCAGGATCACAGTCCTGGCGGCGAGACCGATGAGGTGCTACAAATGCCTAGCATCGGGACACACGCGCGTCAAGTGCGACAGCTGTTTTGACTGCGGCGGACTGTGTTTCCGCTGCGGTCAACCGGGGCATAAGGCGGCAGAATGCTCTGCCGCCCCTCACTGCCCAGTGTGTGCGGCGGGCAATAAGCCCGCCAATCACCAGATGGGGCAGAGAGGCTGCAAGCCTCCCCGCAGTTCTCGGCAGACGTCGGGGGTTAGCCAGTCGACCCAGGCTGCCTCCGATGTAGTTCGTGCGTCGACGTCGTCGCCCATGGAGGAGGTTGTAGAGACGATCCAGTAATGGATCAAGTCTCCAACCTCCTGGTCCAGACGAACCTGAACCACTGTGCCGCGGCGCAGGATCTCTTCCTGCAAACCATGGCACAGTGGTCGATAGGTGTTGCCGTAGTCGCGGAGCCCTATTCTGTCCCTCCCCGTCCAAACTGGATGGGTGACTGAGACGGCTCCGTGGCAGTCGTCGGTTCCACGACGGCTCATTCCCCGCCCTTGTCGCTAAGAGACAAGGGCACTGGATATGTTGCCGTCGAGTGGGGGGGGATCACCATATATGGTGTCTATTTCTCCCCCAACCGGAGTTTGAACGACTTCGAGGTTTTCCTAACCAGCTTGGAGACCTCGATACGGCGACTAGCGTCTGGGCACGTCCTTGTGCTGGGGGACTTCAACGCAAAGTCCATTGCGTGGGGTTCCCCCAGGACGGACGCCAGGGGCGAGGCCGTAGAGGAGTGGGCCTCTGTCTTCTAAACAGAGGCTCCACCAACACGTGCGTGCGACAGCAGGGGGGGTCGATAGTGGACCTTTCGTTCGCTACCCCTGCCCTCGCCGCACGAGTAAGGAACTGGTGTGTCCTGGAAGAGGTTGAGACGCTCTCGGATCACCTGTATATCCGATTTGAGCTCTCCCGGACCCAGGACTCCAGTAGGGGTCACGTGGCGCGGCGTTTATCCCGCTTTCCGCGGTGGGCTGTTGCCAGGCTGAACCGGGACCTACTAGAGGAGGCAGCCATAATTCACTCGTGGCTGTCTCCTCAGGCTCCGACCGAGGAGGTCGACGTGGGGGCTGGCCGCTTTCGCGATGCGATTACGCATGTATGCGATGCGGCCATGCCCCGCGTTCGAGGTCGTCGGCCTCCAAGGAAGGAGGTCTACTGGTGGTCCCAGGAGCTGGCGGACCTCCGTGCGGCCTGTACACGTGCCCGGAGGTCCTACACGCGCAGTCGGCGGCGTCACCGTGGAGACGGTGAGGAGGACCGGCTTCATGAGGAGTACCGACGGGCGCGGAAAACTCTGAAGCTGGCCATTAGCCGCGCCAAAGAAGAAAAAAGACAGGAGATGCTGGAGGGTCTTAATCGTGACCCCTGGGGTCGCCCTTACCGCGCGGTGCGTCAAAAGCTCCGGGCGTCGGGCCCCCCCCTTACGGAGACTCTCCAGCCCAGCTTCCTGCGAGAAGTGGTTGAGGGCCTTTTCCCGCAACGAGCGGAACACACTCCCCTGGCGATGGCCTCCTTGGCCGGAGACGACGGGGAGCACGGGGAGGAAAATGTTCCGCCCGTCCGGGATTCGGAGGTAGGGGCGGCTGTTCTACGGATCCGTTCCAAGAACACCGCCCCTGGGCCAGACGGGGTACCGGCCCGAGTGCTGGCCCTGGCCCTCAACCACTTGGCAGACCGCCTCGGGGAGGTGTTCGACGCTAGCTTGGCGTCGGGACGCTTCCCTGAGTGCTGGAAGAGCGGGAAGCTGGTCCTATTGAGGAAGCCGGGACGGCCTGCCGATTCGGTCGCGGCCTATAGGCCCATCGTGCTGCTGGACGAGGCGGGCAAATTGTTTGAGAGGGTTCTTTCTGCCCGCATCGTCCGGCACCTCTGCGAGGTGGGCCCCGATCTGTCGGACGCCCAATTTGGTTTTCGGGCGGGGCGTTCGACAGTCGACGCTGTGTTGCGCCTGAGGGCCGTGACCGAAGAGGCCGTGAGCTGTGGCGGCGTGCTGTTGGCGGTGTCATTGGACATCGCCAACGCATTCAATAGTCTGCCATTCAGCTGCATCAGGGAAGCACTCCACTATCATGGGGTGCCAAAGTACCTGAGGCGGCTGGTGGCAGACTATTTAGAGGAGCGTACCGTCGTGTACGAGGACCGAGAAGGTAATTTGAGGAGTCGGCCCATGTCGTGCGGTGTTCCACAGGGGTCTGTTCTTGGACCCCTCTTGTGGAACATAGGGTACGACTGGGCCCTTCGCGCCGATTTCCCCCCCGGGCTGGGTGTAATCTGTTACGCAGACGATACACTGGTTACAGCCCGGGGGCAAACTTCCAAGAGGTGGCGCGCCTGGCCACAGGGGGAGTCTCCCTGGTGGTCGGGCGCATTGAGGCGCTGGGCTTACGGGTGGCCCTAGATAAGACGGAGGCCCTGTTATTTCATGGGCCCCGTCGTGGTCCACCCCCTGGCGCCTCAATCGTGGTCAACTCGGTCCTCGTACCGGTTCGGGCCCAGATGAAATATCTGGGCCTGATCCTCGACGGGAGGTGGCTCTTCGACGAGCATTTCCGACAGCTTGCTCCAAAGCTGGTCGGCGCTGCGTCTGCCCTAGGGCGACTTTTGCCCAATATGGGTGGACCCAGCGTCGCGACAAGACGGCTGTACACGGGGGTTGTCCGGTCAATGGCGCTGTACGGTGCACCGGTGTGGGCGGCGGCTCTGACCGCCCAGAATAGGGTACGCCTCTGGCGCCCTCAGAGGGTCATGGCGGTCAGAGCCATACGCGGTTACCGCACCGTTTCTACGGAGGTGGCATGCGCGTTGGCCGGAACTCCCCCGTGGGATTTGGAGGCGGAAGTGCTCGCCGAAGTCTATCGGCGAGTGGCTGACTCCCGGGCGGAGAGCGGATTTCGCCCTCCGCCCGAGGATGTGCGCGAGTGGCGCGAAGCCGCTCGCCGAGCCACGATGGCTCGTTGGTCGTTCCGGCTGGAGACTCCACGCGCTGGCTTCGCCGCCGTGGAGGCTCTCCAGCCGGTCATCGCCGAGTGGGCAGGGCGGCAGCACGGGACCCTTTCCTTCCGACTGACGCAGGTGCTTTCCGGGCACGGTTGCTTCGGAAAGTACCTGCACACGGTCGCTAGGAGGGAACTGAGTCCCGCCTGCCACCACTGCGACTGCAGTGAGGACTCGGCCCAGCACACGCTGGCGGTCTGCCCCGCATGGGCGGCGCAGCGCCGGGCCCTCACTGCAGTCATCGGAGTGGATCTCTCGCTACCGGCCGTAGTACGCTCCATGGCCGGTAGCGACAGTTGTTTTACCGCGGTCGCAACCTTCTGCGAGGTAGTAATCTCGCGGAAGGAGGCGGCGGAGAGGGCCCGGGAGGACGACCTCCACTCGGACCCGATCCGCCGCCGGCGAACCGGGCCGCGGAGGCCCGCCTACCACAGCCTCATGCCGCCCTGAGTGTGGCCGCGGGTGGACGGGGTGGGTTTCCCCTCCACCCGCATTAGTTGGCCAGCCGCGAGGGGGCGGCGTCCGCGTGTGCCGGACGTCGCCTAAAGAGAGGAACATCTACATTGAGACGGAGCCCGCACCAGGAGCGGGCTGGCGCTAGGAGGGGTCCGGATGTCTTAACAACAGCTGTTCCCGGATCCCTCCTGTTACAGGCGCAGAGTGGCACACCGTGTGGTTTTAGTCGGTCCGAGTCCGACACACCACCCCGCCGCAAACCCCGGAGGGGTGACGGTCCGAGGGGATTTCCACACGTTAAAAAAAAAAAAAAAAAAAAAAAAAAAAGGTTTGTTTCAAGTTTTCCTTCTCTCTGCAATACTGTTGTTCTGCGTAGTTTTCTCCCTTAGTCGGCTCTTACGACACCGACGGGATGAATAGGGGTGATGACATTCTGTATTCTTAATCCGTCACCACACGGATAACATATTACTACCCTTCAATGTATAATATGACAACACAGGGAATATGTGTAATATTGTACTTACATATCCATTTTCAATTTTAGCTTCCTTGAATTTGTCTTCATAATTTTGTCGTGACCGAACACTATTGTTTGATACGAAATGTACTGTCTTGCCGTGTTTTTTCATCAGGTTAAAGAATTCGCCAACACGAGGTAAAGCTTTTGTGGTCCAAACGACTCCTGAGAACAATCACAAACACGTAAATTAATGCAACTTCTGCGATTCTAAGACTACTTCTACTCATTAAAGAGAAAGACCTTTGTCATTTAATATAAATACAGAATTCAGCTACCAGCCTTTGTTTTATGAACTATGCCATAAAAATATTGATTACTAGCTGATCCGTGGAACTTTGCCTCATATCATCATTATCAACAGCCTTTACTAGTCAACTGCTGGACATAGGACTCTCCTTAGAAAAGAGGTTTTGGCCTACTGTACCACGCTGGCCAGATGAGTTGGTATAGGAATATTTTCATGTTTTCCTTCTCTCTGCAGTGGTGTGCTCATGGGATGAATAGGTGTACTACGTATTCTTAATCCTTCACCACACGGATACAATTTAGTCTGCGTATCTCAAAAGGAATAAATTGCCCCAGTTTTTGCAACATTATACTAGGCTCCTATTGGTTGTGGCGTGATGTTAAGTAGCCTATAGACTTCCTCAATAATTTAGTTCATACCAGCAGTTCCTGAGATTAACGCGTTTATACAACCAAACAAACTCTTCAGCTTTTTAATATTAGCATAGCTATATTGATTTAAAAGGACCCTTTAAAGTCAATCTAAAAGTTATTGAACCAAAGATAATAAAACAGTGAATATGAAATATAAGAGTATAAGTATTATGTAGCTCTTTACGCTATCTACATAATTAGGAAACCCACACACGCGTGGGAAGTTGATTATAACGCCTGATGGTCTCGTTATAGTAGATAAGTATCGATCGCGATGTACATATGTCTCGTGTCGTGATTAGACATACATCATAGCTTGTACGACCTCTGGGTGTGTGATGAAGTAGTCACGAATTAGTCATTTAAACTCGTTTAACAGTTTGTACTATGTGCAAAGTTATGGTTATTATTAGCCGACACACAGGCCTGTTAGTCTGGTGGTTGGTGAGCCTATGGTCGTGGGTTAGGTTCTCACCCGAGGTAAATAATATTGTGTGATAAGCAAGGGCATTTGTTCTGTGTCTGGGTTTAATTTATCTATAAAATATGTATGTATGTAAAAATATATAACTATGTTAATCTTGTTACCATAGTTAGAGGCTTTACCTAGTTTGGGATCAGGCTGCCGTGTGTGAGGTTTTTATTGTTATTGTTTAACAGTTAAGGTTTGAGCTGCCTCATTCACCGGAGCGGGACCTGATCATGCCTGACTTCATTCATACGGTGAAATGCAAAAAATATCTTTAAAATGCAAAAAAAACCGCCTTAATTAAAAAAATTATTACGGTGAGAGAATGACTGAATTTCTAGTCCTTAAAAATATTTAATGGAATAGAACTGTTAAGAATATAAGCTAAATTAAGGAAATATATGTTAAAATTGAAGTTGGAGGATCTAAAATAATAATAACTCCTCACATCTCACACATGGCAGTCTGGTCCCAAACTAGGCAAAACCTATACTATGGTAACCAGACTGCTGATAACCATACTTATTTATTTCTAAATACATATATATTATAGATAAATTACACCCAGACACAGAACAAATGACCAAACTCGTCACACAATATTTGTCTTGGGTGGGAATCGAACTCACGACCTCCGGCTTAGCAGTCAGTGTCACTAACCGTTTGACCAACAGACCCGTCAATCACTTAATATACCTATCAGTGAGGTCCACTCGCGCGGTCCAGCGATCCGTATATTTAGTTTTTGGGTTAGTGCATGTACGTAGAACTTATGTACTATACATAAGCACTAAAATATAATGTTGTTTTAAGATGTGTGTAATTGATATAAAATTGTTAACGAGCGTATCTATGGAAATATAAAATCTTTTTTATGAATAAATGAGTAAAAAGAAGCTAAAAAACTATAAGTTTTATTATGAGTGCGTTTGAATGATCTCTCCTGTCTTAGGTGTTCAGACAATGTGGAACAATGCCTTGAAGTGTGTGTGTGTGTGTGAAGTACGACATCAGAAAAGGATTTACTTTATAGAGAATATCAATTTACATCGCAGCGCATAAAATCAACACAACTTCTTCATAACATATTTATTTCTTCATAACAGATTAGACGGTAATATCATAAATTAGAAAGTGTCTGATCTGTCTGCGGACATCTTGTTTGCATGAAAATCGCTAGATTAATAAAACATAACATAGCTTAAGTCTCGGTAGACCGCCTAACGTTCTTGGAATTTCATGACACTGAAAACTTGTGTATGTTAATACTGTGTCTCTTGTTTGTGTATCTTCATCATTCAATTTATTTATTTATTAAGGCATATTTACAGAATAAACACAAACAATAATACACATAATTGTTTCAAATTAAGTTCGAATTAACTTCTAATTAACTCTAATTACGAATATGCATATCATTAACATATAGACAACATAATAATTATAAAAATTGAATAATAGCAACTTTACTTATACATAACTAAAACTTAACTAAAAACGTATGCACTTTCCTAATTATATGCAGGTCCTAACTATTTGTCCTGGGTGGGAATGGAACCTACGACCTCTGGCGGAACAGTCAGGGTCACTAACCACTAGACCAACAGGCCAGTCTAAATGCATTTTTATTTTCTGTTCATCTACCATGTTTGGTTCGACATCGCCCTAAGGTCGACTGGTAGAAAATGCCTACGGCTTTAAGTCCACCTTTGCTACATTTGTGAATAAAGATTAATTAAATAAAGAAATAAAAAAGACACATCTAGTCTATCATAAAAACAAATCAATCAGGTCAAAAACCAAAAAGCCACAAAGAACATAAGGTCTAAATCAAAGGCTGTTGACCTACACACAAATCTATATTCACAAACAAGTTTCTATTTATTCAACCCTCTACCGGACAACATTATGCAACTAGCAGTGTCACTGTTATTTCTTCCATAAAGTGGAATTTGCTTCTAACATGCGTAGATAAAATGAATTTTAAAATAGAATACTCTCTGATGATCACCGACCAGATACCGGATGGCGTAGTGGTTTGTGTAAGGGACTGCTATTCCAAAGGTCGCGGGTTCGATTCCCGCTCAAGTCTAACATTTGTGTGCATGAACATTTAATGTTTGATTTGGTCTGGGTGTTTCTATCTAGAATATGTATGTATTTAGAAAAAACAAAGTATATTATATGTATTTATATAAGTTGTCTAGGACCCAAAGTACAAGTTCTGCTTAGTTTGAGACTAGATGGCGTTGTGTGAATGTAGTAGAATATTATTATTATATTATCACCATTAACATTTTATTATATTCAAAAATAAAATTAATACATAGCTACCAAAAATTTGCTTATAAAAACAGCAGCTATTATATATCTATGTACATAAAAACAGTTCAGGAAATCCGGTAAATATTAGTTAGGTGATAATTGATATCTATGTGTTACTATCCATACTAATATTATAAAGCGCAAGTGTGTCTGTATGTTTGTCTGTTATGTACCTCTTCACGCTTAAAGCACTAAAAGGATTTAGATGAAATTTGGTAAAGAAATCTTCTTAGTCCCGGCAAGGACAAAGGATAATTTTTATCCCAGAAATCATCCTTTAAGGTGGTGAAAAGAATTTTGTATAAGGAATCAATAACCGCTGAACCGATTTAGATTAAATTTGGTATAGAGATACTTTAATTCTTGGGGAAAGGCATAGATCACCGCGTACCGTACCGCTGTTTACACCAATAACCGACAAAAGCTAGTTTAAGATACCACAAATAATTTCTTGTAGGCATTTAGGATTAGTTATTGAACCGAGCACTCTCTTTTGTAATCAGATAATTATACCTACATCTCTTCGTTGATAATAATAAGAAAATGATGTAACATACCATCACAATCCGAAAACACATGGTCGAATGAATCTAAAAACTTTTTAAATTCTCCTGGACTTAAATCCAAAAGGTTCACGGGCATCGAATTCATTTTCGATTATTAAGTAATTATTGTATTATCGGTAAAAGATACGTCACACGTGTGCTCATAACCTCGCCGTGTTGCCTACTGCGCTTGCGTCACCATGCGCGTAAATATAAACCTGATGTTTTGGTGAGTACGTTTTCATTGATTCACGGAAAAATTGAACTAATATACTCAGTTGAACTAATTTCAAGCACTGATTTGAACTTACAGTCTGTTATCAATTACGTTACCGCATGATCATTTTTCGTATTTTTTTCTTTTTTTTAATTACCAAGAAGAAAAGTACAAAATATGTGATACATTGCCGGTGGCCCCCCACCAGGCAAGCCTGTCCTGTGGGTGCCAGTTGCGATTACACATTTCGCCATACATAATTGTTCGGTATACATTACATCGTCGTTATCAATTTAAAGTATACTGTGTTACTTGCTTATATTTGTGGCAGCAATCTATTTCCTCCAAATATGCGTTCGGGAGAAAACAATTGCCGTCCCAAACGAGTTGGCAACAAAAAAAAAGATAAAAAAGATGAAAAATGATTAAAAATTTAAAACAATAATAGTGGCAAAACAGTGCTGGTAAATACATGCATTATTTTATAGATATTAATAATAGGTCTTTACCTATGAAATTGCCTTTTTGTATGCAATAAGTGAAAGTACTTATTTTTTCAAACTTTTTTATTTCTGTTATTTGAAGTAATCACCCATGCAATCGACGCATCTTTGCCAACGCATTGGCAGTTTATTGATGAACTTCTTGTAAAAATCAGCTGGACGGGAGGCAACAAACTCTTCAAAGGCATTTTGTACTGCCTCTCGGGAATTGAATTTTTTACCCACTAAAAACTTGTCTAAATTTTGGAAAAAGTAATAGTCGGTAGGTGCAAGGTCTGGTGGTCACATCTGCAACCAGCTTTGGTCAATCGGTCGTCCCCACTGCTCCTTCACGACAACGCGCGACCCCATACTGCGCAACAGACAGTCTCCAAGCTGCAAGAGCTGGGGTTGGAAGCTCATCCTCATCCGCCATACTCACCAGACATTGTTTTCTCCCGAACGCATATTACCTAATATATTTATACTATAATTTAAAGTGATAACTTTACTCTTAAACACCTAACTAACATAATCTACTAGAAGCAAATAAATTTCCTTAACATGTCGGTAGCTTAAGTTATCCCCGGGGTGCAACTAAAGTTTAATGGATAATAAATCTATTCACTCCTGTTCACTGAGGTCGTTCACCTTTACTTATCTGGATTTATTTTTGAATTTCAACACTTACAAATGCAATTTTACAAAAGAGCAAAAAATCTTTGTTCTTTGTTCTAATTAAAGAAGTATTAAATATGACCATCAATTAAATACAGTTGCCGTTGTCAAATGAATTAGTTTGCTCGTTTTAGTGTCCAACTAAAACTAGTTTTTACGATCGGAACCGAACTTTGTCTATGGCCGTAGTCTCTGCCAAAAACGAAACGTCCGTGTACAATTATATATTATAAACAATATAACAATATGGTTGCTACTGCCTTGTCTGTACTACAGTGAAACTAATAAAAGTAAAATAATTCCAATGTCTTTTTTACCATAACTGAGCCGAAACCGCATATACCGAAACCAACATTTAGTTACTTTTATTTACAGCACATTTTACAATGTATCTTAATCTTTATCTTTATCTTTATGTTAAACTCAAAATAACTTTAACTTGTATGAAGTCGAAACATACAGCTCATAATTTCTGCAATCTGGATCGATAAATTTACCCACGATTTTTTTTTGTTAACGGGGTTGAAGATCCTCATGAATCCTTCGTCCATTGGGGGATGGCGAAGCGGTCATTTTTTATGGGACTAATCCCACCCACACGCCCACCACTGTAACTCCTGTACACCAGGATCCACAGCAGTGACCCACGAACACACCGAGTTATGACACTCGGGAAGTCCCAGGAAGAAATTAAACTGTCTTGGAACCCGCAACGAAATTAATCAGAAGAAAATTGGAAGAGTGGGAAATACAGTAAATCCACTTCCCTCCTTAGCAAAGCGAGAGACAAAATGAAGTAAAATAGGCATACACCCTTTTAAACAGAGAAGCACCACGGCCACAAAATATTACGGGTCCTACATGAGCTATATTTGATTTCTATAATATGTATGGCAGAATCGCCTAAACGCACGGAAATTCACCCTAGTTGACACAAGATCCCCATAGTATACCGCCCCAGATGTCACCTGCAAGCTATTCAGCATTATATTACGTTCATTATACCAAAGACTACATTCCCAGAGGATATGATGAGCAGACTGTTCATAATGAGAGTTAGGTGTTGAGCATTGACACAATGGTGACTCGACTAATTTAAATGAATACAACTTGCTCTTAAAGTTACCATGACCCGTAAGAAATTGAGCGACACAGTGATCCACCTCAAGCCATGTCCTCGACAACCGTTCGCGAACAGATGGAAAAAATTGGTAAAGATGGCGCCCCTTGGATGATTCGTCCCAGCGTTGCTGCCATTCGTCTATGAGGTCATTATAGACATCGGACTGCTGTTGAAGCAATCTTGTAATTTTACCGCGATCCCGCGCGCCCAAGAAATCGCATTCCATGTTTTGTCTTGAATAGTACATGGCTGCACGTCTCTGCACCTCGAGATCGACCGGAAGGACACCTGCCAACACCGGCAAAGCCTCAGTGCTAACCGTCCTATATGCCTTGCACAAAAATATCAGTGCAAGTCGTTGGCCTTGTAACAGTTTGCGACGGACAGCGCCTACGGTCGCCCTATCGGCCCATACAGGTGCACCATAGCACATAGAACCTAAATAAGTGGCTCCGTATATGATCTTTTATGTATTAAATGATAGACCCCATGTCGCAGTTGATATCCTTGTCAATGCACAGAAACTCTTTTTAGACTTTTCATTAACTATTTTAATATGTTCGATAAATGAAAAGTTTCTTTCTAAAACTAATCCTAGATAACACACTGTGGTTTTATTTTTTACAGTAACATTGTCAAATCTAATGCTCGGCGGTGATTTGAGCTTACCTTTTAAAAGTAACTGGAAGGTTTTGTTGGGTGCAAAAGTTAAGCGATTACCTTCACCCCATTGAGATATCAAGTTCAAACATCTATTGGCTAATCTCTCAAGCCCCGCCCTAGTATCAGATTCCACCAGTAATAAGCCGTCATCAGCATACGCGTTCAGAGTACATCCGGATGGTATTGGTATCGTAAGAAAATCGTCGAAGCCGATATTCCACAAGTATGGACCTAGCACCGATCCCTGAGGACATCCCATTGTAAGCGCCTTCGACACAGAATGATGACCAAGTCTTAGTTTAGTTGTACCTTGTGAAAAATACGAAGAGATAAGGGAAAGCGATGGCGATGGCGAAGCGGTCAGTCGGATTCTTACCGACCACCAAAACCACCACGGTGTTCCTTTCCTTGCCAATGGTCAGGGGAGCGAGAATCGCAATTGCATTCTTCCGCCACCCTCGACAAGCATTGACCCGTCTCACCTAAGACGGGTCTCGTAACCGGTCGCTACTGTCCTCTAGAAGCGCACACGGAACACTGTGCGCTGCCTCTCGGCCCTGTATCTGTTCAGACGATGAATTCCCCGAAATCGTCACCCGCAGGCCACTTCCTAAGGTGGCCGGAGATCGACGAATGCCCTCCGGCCCGCCCCCGGTGCGACTTCTGCGGGCAGAGACCGTGGTGCTGCGTTCTCTTTGCCGTCCTGAATTTACCCACGATAATGGAAATACGCCCAACACTAGCGATCCAAAATTCATGATGACCTTGATTTGCATTTCTCAAGTCAAAATGATAACTTTAATATTACTAATAATCTCATACGTAATATTTAAAATTTTTATTACATTGGCGATAACATTATACGAGCAGACTATCACCTGATTGTAAGAGGCTTTCGCTGTCAATGACACGACCTGTAATCGAAGAGACACAAGTGCCTTGGTGGCCTTCGTGAATGAGGACTCACGAAGGTCTTTCCGCACTGAGCAGGGGAGGCCCTGCCCTGAGTCGGAAAGAACTGGCGTTTAGTCTGTGGTAACCTCAGCTAATTGGTCAAAGGCAAGAAAAAGAAGTGAGTGTCTTCAATGAAGGATCTTTTTTGTTTTCCTCTTTCAAGCCGGACATTCTACCAATCAAGGCTGACTTTTATATATAAGGAATTCCTTTAGTCTTAATTAGCTGGAATTTTACCAACTGAAACTGAAAGTAAAATGTTTTTTGAATACTGTTTTCAATAAACCTAAGTAAGGCCACTGCTAACAAAATAACAGTATATGCACATGTACATAGCTTGTTTATAATGTAATTACTTAAGTCCGGCAACATTGGAAATTTTTACTTTTACGTTACATTAGTGATACTAATTAGCGGTTTCTTTAAAAACATTTTTTTATGAAATGTAAAAAAAAAACAAAAAATATTTATGACCGTACCTTACAGAGGTATTCAATAGACATCGTTATTTTTCCAAGTATAATTTGATTCCGTTCAACGTTTAGTGCAAGCTTATTGATGTTGTAGTCTTTCCATTAGGAATAGAACATTTAGAAGAAAAAAGTGGAAACAACAGGAGAAGAATGGAATAACTATATATATAATATTGAAAGGAAGAGAATGAGAAGAAATATGAGATTGCTGATGGAGATGGATTAGGAAATATAAGTAACACTTCAAGTCAGCACATACCTGTAGGAAATCGAGTTAAAACCAATTTCCGGCAAGCCCTTAAACTTATACGTTTATGCATTAAATGTGTATCTAGCTGTTTTTGTTTACGTACTGTATATAGGTATATGTATGTACTCTAAGTTGCTATACAACTATGTTCTAGCAAATATTTTTTTAACAACAGCGATTAAGCAGCGCTCCCTTCAATTTCCTTTTCATGTTTTTTTATCTTTTATTTATAGCTGTCCTGGGTAAATAATACTTTGGAATAGTAA